GGTATAGGGGCCGAATGGGGTAGCTACAGGGACTTTCCTTCTGAGAAAGGGAGACTGGATCAGGGACTTGGTTGAGGCACTATCCAACCTCCCTCATTGCAAAGCTGTCGGCATTGACGACGACGTCCGTCCCTGGGGGGCCCTTCGACTCGGTCGCCGCATTGGCACGTTTCCGAACCGCTTCGTCACTCCCTTCCAGGCCCAGAGTATGGTCTTTGCCACCACGTTGATCAGAGCCCTGTTCATAGGACTGCTGCAACAGTCGCCATGCTGTAGAGAGACTCTATATTCAGTTTGGCGATCTGAAGACGGGCTGCACCTCTGTCACCCCACGCATGCTATCAACGATCCCTGTGTCTGTAGACACTTTGAAGAATCGGCTGCTCCCATCAAAACCCTGCTACTTGTGGTCAACCCAAACAGCCACCAGAACGCATTCGATGAGGATTGTGAAGAAACTAGTTTCCAACACCGACCCGATCCAGACTACGGATCCGATTGGTGTCCGGAGTTCTGCGGCTTCCTCCGTCTTTTTCTCACGCTGACCGACTTCACCTTACACATTCAATCCCCGCGACGAAAGGCAGCAATTTCCGAGGCTTTCCGAGGATCTTCGAATTCCCAGCCTCCAGAGCCTCCGTATCGAGTTCGTCGACTGCACAAGGGACGAGCTTATGACGTTGCTAGAGGGGCAATCGCGACACGCTTCGGGAGCTTGTTCTCGAGTCCGTTGATGTCACTGGAGGGGGGCGAAAGACGTGGTCCTCGCTCCTCGGAAGTCTCCAGCATAGCCTCAGGTTAGAGGCAATAGACTTGGGGAACTGTATGGTGATGGGTTTTATCTCTGTCACGCTCCTCGGTAACGTTCTCAACCAAAGGTTTTGCGCAAGTGGCCCTGAGGAGATTGAGGCTATGCGGTCAGCATTAGATGGGTTAGAAGAGTCGGAAAGCGGTTCCCCTGGTCAAGACGATCTCATGGTGAGTAATGCAGAGTTTAAGTAACGTATGAGATCACCGCGTCCCACAAAGGTATAAAACCCACTCGCCTGAGGTAAAGCATTCTGTTCCACTCTAACCTGCTTCAGTGATATATAAGCTATGTATCTAGCTCCCTATCCTATCACCTATTACCTATAGATCTATCCTAAGGTCCTAGCTGCTAAGCACACTATATACGCGCCGAACACACAAACAGCTAAGTGTCCTTTCGCCCGTTGCCCAACGTCTCGCTCATCACACGCTATCCGCCGCTAGGCTTTATCGGCAACGATATCACACTCTCATTCCCAACACCAGTCGAGAGGCCTCGTAGCTTGGGGTAGAGCGCTCCCTAGCTAAGGAGAAATCAAGTTCGAATCCAGGTGAGGTCGTTCATTTTTCCTTTTTCTTGCGTTTTCTTTTGTTCTTCCCCCCTTCCCCGTAATTGGCTGGCTGACGCCCCTGCCCTCGGCCCCGTGCGCCCCGCCTCGCCGTCCGGGCCGGGCTGACGGCGGCGGGCCCCGCTCTTATCCCGGGCCCAGCGACGTCGCCCGCAAGCGTTGCTCCTCGCCGACTCACAATCTGTCAAGCTAACTCCTAACGCTTGACGTGCGTCGAAAGGCCTAAGTAGGAGAACGGTAGTAGGCTGAATCACTGGTTGAGGGCCTATCAGCTTAATTAGTCGAGCACTCCTAACCCTAAGGAGAAATCTGGGTTCGAGTCCTGGGTGGGCCTCTTTTTTTGCACCCTCTGTCGCTTGTCCATTTCTTCCCCGTTGCGGCCGCTGCAGGAGCGCGGCGGCGCGGCAGCTGGTTGCAATGCCGGTTTAGGGATGCGCCTGCGGGCCGCCGCCGGGCTGGGCGGGTTCGATTCGTATGTATGCCCGAAACGACCGTCATGCGCGCGAGACTACGGCCGCGCATGCCTTAAAGGCGTGAAACGTCGCAGAGATATCACCAGTTGGGATGAGAGGCCTGCCAGCTTAATTGGCAGAGCTCCCCTCTAGCTAAGGGGAAGGTCGGGTTCGAGTCCTGGGCGGGTCGCAACTTTTGCAGCTTTTTCTGTGCAACCTTTTGCCCTGATCTCAAATATCCAGTCCGTTTTGTCATAGGCCTCTCCGTTGGCAAGAAATCTCTTGTTTAGGCTTTATTTCGTTTACACTCTCAGTTCTAAGCTATCAGAGTGCAATACCTTACGTATACTTACGAATATGTTGATAAAATTCCCTCTCCTGCAAGGCACCGCCTAGCCTCACATTATATACTATATCTAGGTCTCTCGTATCTCCAATCCCCGTTTATACTCTCCTTCCTCAGGATAATGGTCCTGTGGCGAGGTACACAACCTTTCGACATAACAGTCGAGTGTCCCCCCCGCGTGATGGCTCAGCAAGAGAGGCTGGTGGAGAAACGCATCACCTGGCTCCTATCGGATTCGCCACCGAAATTGGAAAAAAAAAAACCAAAGGCATCTGCATCTCCTACTCAATTCCTATTATCTCTATTCCCTTATTCGCCTGTTTATTGTATTTATATAACCTTATCGATCCTTGATGATGCTCGCGCAAACGCTCCGTCCAGATGCTGTCCTGGCTGTTGAAGACCACGCTGATAAAGTCGTCTGGTCGTTTCATGGCCGACCGTAGCTCTCGGAGTGTCTGGAGGAGGTCTCTTGAGGCCGCGCTGCAGGTCCTGTGTTTCGGGGGGCTGTCGCGGTTGCTTTTTGAGGTGACCCAACCCAGCTCACGCAACATCCTGTTGCTGCACCCCTTATGCTCTACAGCGCTGTTAGCATCATAAGCCTCACACCATCCCTGCGTTATACTGTACCAATCTTCTTCGTCATCTCGGCTACATCATAGGCCGTCCCACTTGACCCTTCTTCCAGGGGAACGAGGCGGGGTAGAGGAACCACATCATCCTCGTGACCATAACGAGGGCCAGCTGGGCCGGGTCCTTTCTCTTGGCTGCGGTCCCGAATTTGCGCGACCCAGGCGCGACCTCTGGCGGTTTCCGATGAGGAGCAAACGGTCAATGTGATCATCAGCATCAGCAAACAGAGGGGGTCCTCGATGTGCTGTAGAGGACGTTTATCGCTAGCTGGTAGTGGGTCCAGAACCTGTATATCGCCCTTGTTAGAGAAGATCGCCTTAGCCTTGAGAAAACCGTCCGTAATAAGGCTGGGGACGTCGGTGAAGGGGAAGCTGCAGCCGAAGTTGATGGTTCTGCGCGTCTGCCTGAGCGCCCGGTCGTGCGCAGCTTTCTCGTGCTTATTTGAGCTTCCTGCGCCGCGCGCCTCAGGAGCCTGGCGGGCCGGTTACTACTACGTGGCGACCTCTCGACCGCACAGGCTGACGACGGTTGTTGACGTTAAGCGGCCCTTGACGGCGTCAGGCACCCACTCAACACCGGCCGCGAGGAGTCGGCTGGCTATCACGGAGACCCACTCGTCGGGCTTGAGTCCGTTGCTGGCCTGGTTGCCGCTAGTTATGGCCGCCTGTAGATGGTCCGGCCATGTCGCGTTGACTGGCGCGGATGCTGCCCGCCCCTTCTCAGTAGAGACAACGCGGAGAAGCTGAGTAGCAAAGTCGTGCCTGGTGCGCGTCCTCGACAAGGTTATTTTTATGCGCGAGCCGCCTGAGGTGAGACCGTCAATTAGCCGCTGTAGCGCCACATGGGTGAAGGCGTCTGGCGCCGCTTCCCACGCCTCAACAGCAGACTTACACGCCTCTTTCTGCTCTAAGGTAATAGGCATACTACCAGTGTCGCTACTACCTTCTTGCAGCCTGCGCCGTAGTTGGTTAGCTATGAAGAGCTTCGTCTGGGGGATCCACATCTCCCGCATGAGTTCCGTCACATATTCCGTCACAGCTGCATGGCTCTTGAATGCGTCCCGGCCTAGCTGGCTGAACCAGATCTCGGTCTCCCGGTGGGAGGCAAGGCGGTCGCCGTAGTGGTGCTGTAGCTCGCTAATATGGAGCAGTATAAGCCTTCCCGTCTTCGCGGAGCGGGGCCACCGGCTGGTGTCCATAAAGCAGGTCGCTGCCCCGGCTGGAGCGAGGTCTAGTACGGCTGGGTCGATATAGGGCCACGCCCCAGCCAGAAGGCTGTCGATGGTGCCTAGCGGCCGGAGCACCGTCTTCGGCAGGTGGCGCTCATGCCCGGTGAAGATATACCCACCAAGCCGGTCAAGTACTGCAACAGCCTCAGAGTGTGCGAGGTCTAGGCCGCGCTCGCCGCCAGCAACGTAACGCCGTTCCATCTCACAGATAGCAAGCTCAAACAGGCGGCAGTAGGCTGACATGATACGGGGGAAGATTCCGACTGGTATAGACCGAAAGATGTGGACATACGACTCATGCTCTGTGAGGAAGAAGCGCATGAGTTGGAAAATAGGGCGAATAACGTTCTCGAATGTGCGCTCAACGCTGTCCATATGTCGTATATTGAGTGATACAACCTGCTCCATCCGGTATGCTACCTCATCCTTCTCGATAGCGATGTCCAGCTGCCTACGCTCTCGCGCAAATGGCTTAGACTCCTCAGGCTGCTCAGGCGTGAGGTCGCCACGGATACAACGTAGCAGCCTCTCCCGCCTGTCTCTTGTGTACGACATGGCGGATGTGTGTGACGTTGGGGCTGTTAGCGCTGCTGTCGCGTACCCCTTCGTTGCGAGGAGGGCGCTGGCGCTGTGGCGCACGCTTCTCTTGATGTTGGAGTAGCCCTGGAAGTAGCCGAACGACAGCACGTTGCGCCCTCATTGCGGTCGCTCATATTCCTGTTATAGGGTAGAGCGAGTTGAGGAAGGCGGGCGGCTGGCTGGATGAGAAGTTTCCATAGTTGGGGGAAGGCCTGGGGTAGAAGGTGTAGTCGCGGTTACCAGGGTACTCTCGCGCCACCATGTTCCGGTCGGCGAGGAGGCAGCGCGTCTGGAGCTACCCGACTCGCTGTTGATACAGACTGCAAGGGCGTACGATATAGCACTGATACTGCTGAGATCAAAGCGGGCGTCGAGCTCTATAATCATCTCTGCAGGTCCCTGCTCTCCCTGAGCATCTGCTGGTACTCCCGGCCGTCCACTGCATCGCTGTGTGTTCTTTGTTCATCGTTAAGAGAGAGCTCTTCAATGTCCTGCTGAACATTTCCATCTCTAGGGCCCTGCTCCCCGCCCTCCTCCTCCTCCTCCTCCTCCTCCTCATAGGGTATATGCCTCTCGCGCGGCCGTAGATGCTATCGCTGACCTGAATCTCGATATTCGCGCCGTAGTCATACGCGTGGAACGCCGGCTCGTGGCGTCGCCAGAATGAATTGTGGTTGTGGTTGCTGGCCCAGACAGCCCAACCGTCCATGAACTGCTGCTGGAAGACCTGCCACTTAGCTGAGCTTATACGCTGAGTGCTCTTTGTCCCCAACCGCCAGCAGGCCTCAACCCCCTCGCCAAGCAGCTGCGGCGACTGGAAGACGCCCACGATATATGCAGCCAGCTCGGGGCTAACCCAGCCGGCATCCCGCTCTTCTCTGAGGCCGTCTGTCTCTCGCGCGGGCCCCCGCCCCTGGAGGTCGGCGTCGTGCGCCAGCGGGTTGCATGACGACGAACCAGACCTCTCGGGTACCAGCCTTGGCGACCCTGAACGTGCGCCCTGGTGATATCGAACGGGATGCCGCCGATATGCTTTGCGCTATAGGGCGCTGCGTATGACTCAGAGAGAACTCGATGTTGTCGAGACGGGGCCCGTCGCTTTTCGTGATGGGGCTGCGTTGCTTGCCGACGATGCTGAAGAAGTCAGAGAGAACTGCGGAAGAAGGACGTCCGATGGCCTTCGCTGGCGACGCTACCTCCAGCGTCGAGACCCAAAGTCAATAGTGTGCTCTCTCCTGTAGCATCTTGATAGCATCGGCTGGCTCGGACATCACTTCGGAGGACCTTTTCGATGAAGCGTCTAGCTGAGGAGAGGGGTGAGAGGCGTTTAGCATATTCTTCTCATAGCTAGTTTAATTCCTTCCGCATATATTACCTCGGACCGGTGGTGCCCCTGAGGAGTGGTCCACAGCCCAACGGTGGCCGTCCCACCCATTGTCCGCCTTCATCCTCATGTTGGCGGGTTGAGTCCTGGTTGTGGGCGAAGGGATCGTTTATTATGGTCCAGGCTAGAGGTATCCTCTGCATCGGGTAGGCCATCACTATCTACTAGCGACTCGGTGATAACATCTCCCTCATAGATTAAAGACATCTTAATGTAAGCTGCCGGTGGGATGCTAGGTGTTACTATTCACGGTCTTGGGTGTGCGTAATGTATGTAGGTGCTAGGTGAGTCTCTTGTACTATACTTTCTAGGGATTCTATGTAGGACTACCTATATATCATTCTACTAGGAGATTACTTACCAAACCACTTATCTATTAGGGTATTGACTACTGCTTGTTGTCCTGCTCCCCGTGTAAACTCTCACCACCTATAAGTCCAGGAGGGCAGATATGCAGCATGTGCCGCCTGTGTTTTATCGGGGAGAGTGGAGGAATCCTCTTTCCCTCTTACTAGACTAAAGCCCTATTAAGACAGCTTGATATCATGTCAATAAAAACAAACCTCGAATTGGTCTGACATTCGTCTGCCTAAGAATGTACGGTCTGCACAAATGCCCTCCCGGGCGTGAAGCTGATGATGACGACCTCAATAAGGGATGGACTGGGGCACATATGGAATTGGGGGGCCCACTTAGTGTGAAACTAGGCAACCTTCTTTGTATGTGCCAGCCGGGCGCAGGTATTTGCTGAGGCATCTTCTATTGGCTATGTTTCAAACGGGCAGGCTTGCAGCGTTTCTTCAGAACAACTTTCCCAAACGAATTGTCTATGTAAGGTATGCAAGGGATCCCCAGGCCTGCAGACGCGACCACGACTGCTACTATACTGCTGCTCTGGCTGGTTTCCTAGCTCTAGGCCCCAGCTTCCAGCGTGGAACTGGTTTCTGGCTGGCGGTGGTCGCTGGCGCCTTGGGCGAAGGCAGAGGGCGCCACTGTTGATGTGACGGCGGGCGGCGGGGAAGGGGAGGAGGGGGAGGAGGGGGAGGAGGGAATACTGTTACGGCGCCTGGGCTGTGAAACACCTCGAGCATCGCGTCGTCATCATATCATTGCTATTGTTGTTGCTGCTGCTCTGTTGGCGCTGGCGCGCAGACTGCTTAGTGGTGATGGCGGGCGCGTCCTGTGTCGGCTGGTCCTCGTCGCCAGGGCAGTCCAGCGCTGCTGCAGATCCGTTGGAGGGCGTGAGGTAGGCCGTTTACGAGCTCCCTCCACCTCTTTGCTGGGTAGCTTGTCTAGCTGCGACGTCCTGCTGGCCGGCGAGCTTTGAACAGATTGGCGCAGGAACCCCTGCACGAGGGTAGAGGCCTTGGCCTGGCGCTCGCTCCTCCTTGTTGCGCACTCCGTCGTCCACAACGGGCGTAGCGTGTGCCCTCCCTGTCGGTTGATGACGCACCATCTTAGCAGACGCGCCCACGCCAGTGCTTGAAGCGCTGCCCGTAGTAAGCCGTCTTCGCTGTCCTGCTCCTCATCGGCCTATCGCGTCATCATCCAGGAGTGGGAGCAGCTCCGGCGCCCGGAACTCGGCTAGGTTGTCCCGTACGAAGTCCAGAATACGTCGCTGGAGCTGTACTGCTGCGATCGCGGGGAAGGCCCCGGGAGCCCAGCCCCTATGGGAGGCGAGGTCGTCTAGCGCTATCGACAGGTGCTCCCGGAGGAGGGGCTTATTCCTATCCTTAGGCCTGACGTTGTCGACAGCTGCAGCTTGCTCTGGACTGATCCAGCAGATCACGTGGCAGAGCACGCGGACGGCTATCTGGATCTCCGTCTTCTTGCAGTGGAGGATACGCCTTAGGTCGGGGAACGTAAGCACCAGCGAGTTTGTGATAACATCATGGACGAGGTGGTAGGTGTGATCGTCCATGTTCGCAAGGAACCCGTCGACCCGTGTACGTGCTTCAAGCCCCGCCTGCTGCTGTCCGGACGTGTAGAATACGCTCGTAATATCGGGGGCGGCTTGGCAAGTTTGAGAGCCTGTCCCAGTCGGCGGGCGTGATGTAGACCTGCTCGTCCGCGGGTAGGTCGGCTAAAACGCTGAGAACCTCGTTAAGGGCATCAATCCAGTACTCGTCGATGCGGAGGCTAGCATCCACTCAAAGTATGAAATATTGAAGGTGTCTAACCCCAGCCTTGTGCAGCACCACTGCGTCGTGACAGGCCGCCATCTCTGGTGGTTCCACAACGTAACGAGCCTCCGCGTTGGGAAATGCTTCTCGCCGCCGAGGCGGAGTGCCTCGACGACGTGCTGGTCTACGGCGGCGTCCTCCCCGCCTAGCTGTCCGTCTGCCTGCCCTCCTATGCAGGCGATGGACGCAAGCTGCGTCCAGATCTGCCCGTGATTGTCGGGCAGGCTTGGATCGCGCCTGTTGACGCGGAGCTTGACGTTCAGGTCGCGCGGCAGGCGGTCTTTGGGTTTCCATGTCGTCCGTTAGCCTCTTGTGAACACAGGCTCATGCCTTGAGCTTGGGGGCTATACCTTTGTCATACAGCTCGCACGCCCACCATAGGTCGGAGCCTGGTGCGCCCGTCTCCTTGACGTACTCGCGGAGCGCCTGGATACGGTGCTGGCCGGCCATGACCTCGGCCTGGCCCCCGCTCACTTCGGCCCAGCGTAAAAGGAGGAGCTCGCAAGGACTGTCGTTATCATCGTTGTCGTCCTCTCCGTCGTCCTCCTCTCGCCCCCCTCTATGCCGCCACCGTCCTGCTGCATAAGGCTGACTGCCTCGGCGCTGCAGAGGACGGTGATCCGGTTCTCCGGCGCCCGCCGTTCCAGCCCGCCGCTCCTGAATGCGTGTAACAGCTCCTGGACGTGGGCTGCGTTAATAGGGCGGTTCCTGCCGACGCTCCAGGCTGTGTCCAGCACGTCGATGGGCATCCTGGCCACGGCGAGGAGGAAAGGTCGCGCCCGTTTCTCGCGCGGACGATGTTTCTGTAAAGGGGGAGCTGATCTCATCTTCTCTCCTGGCCCGGACCCGCCTCCTCAGCCTGATGCTGATGCCGCTGTTGCTGCTTTCTTTCTATCGCCCTCATCACACTTCCTCTTCCGCTTGTCGCTGAGCACTCTGGCCATTGCGGTGATATGCAGTGTATTTTTCAACTGCCCCCCTGATAGCCTGTGCTGGCTGCTTCCTGTTGTTTCTTCGTTAATTTTCTTGTCTTTCTTGCCCCTGGGGGCTTAGGGATAGGTGGTTAAGGGGGTGGGGGTGCTGTGATCAGATGAGATGTGTGCACAAATGAGACGGGAAGATGGGATGATGGATGCTTGGAAGGGGTGCGTATTTGGCAGGGCGGCCGGATGCGATTGGTCCGAGGCTGCTGTAGTACACTAATCTTCTATGTTTTTATTATGCTAGGTGGGGGACGGCTACGCAGCAGAGGGAGCTGACTCACCCCACCACAGTTAGCGTATTCACGTCCGGTAGCAGCAGCAGCAGCAGCGGCATAACTAACCTCAGGTCATGCTGTAAGGTAATAAACAGATCAGGCGTCGGAATACACCTATGATAGGTGGTGCTATGAACACTTATACGCACTATTAGTCGCCCTCTGGATAAATAGCTGTCCTACCCCCATAATCGCACGTCTTTCATACTCAGGATTGGCGCCCTTAACTGGCTGGGTCACTGGCTGTGCTAGCTCCTGGGACGCCCTGGGTATCTGACGAGTCTAGGGCAATAGGACAAGCTATGCCTGCCTATACTGCGTATGCTCCCTCCTGTTTTCTAGTTGAGGAACAACTCTGGGGAGAGGTGTTGAACATAGGGTCTGTTGTAAGGTTGGAAATACCCTCCTTAGAGCTGATGTATCATAGCCCAACCTATGTATGACTATAACTAGAAAGAGAAGTGGTAGTGATCCGGCTACTTGTTTATACGTAATGATATGTAGATATATTTAACCTGCAGTATAGCGCGTCTTATGTTAACCTTTGCTCCCAGATCTTGTCTAGGTGGCGGTGTTGATGATCATACCCTGTAGAACAATAACATTCTAATGTTGTGATAAAATTTCTTAGAAAAAATGTTACCTGTTTATATGATGGCCTGTTTTGCCTGTTTGAGTTCTAGATCACTTTGCTCGCTCCTATCTAAACTATCCCATCTGCCCTTATCCTAGGTAGAACGTTATGCGCAGGGCTATTTGCGATTTGCTTCCCCAAACTCATAATTTCACAGTGATCTGCTCGGCCGGTTGGATACTCAACTAGCTATTACATAATCAACGGCTGTCGGGCCCTGGCTTATTCCGATGGAGTGGGTCGGGACCAACAGGGCCCCGGACCTACCTGAGGTCCTCCCTTGGCTCTCCCTTTGCCCATTAACGATGAATTTGCGCTGTCTGAGTTGCACATCTTGCTGTTATACCATAAGTAAACATGCTTCCCTGTCACCCTTTACAAATGTCTATATACTGACTGAGGCTTTGCGCGGATATCTGCTTACTGGTGCCCTGATATACTCTTTATCTAGGACGATGGAGTTTGTGATGGTTTATCCTATGGTTAGCTGGCCTTCTTGTCTTGCCCCTGCTTGACGCGTTGGTCTCACTCTTAACGCGACATTATACATTAGTCCGCTTCCGGCCAGGGTCTTACTTCTCGCGGACAAACACGCCTAGACCAAACGCGTGGATAGCCAAGGATATCTAACCCTCTTCTATCTCCTACGCGTCCCCCCGTTTTCTCTACCCTCAATCTCCTCTTCCTCTATTCATCTGTTCATCTATCTATCGGTGAATATATCTATTGCTACTCCTGCTGAGGCTGTTTATATATATCGTGCTCCCTGTTGGCCAGCTCTATATGCTTACTAGGATTGTCGTTCTATGCTCTATACTATCCTCCTCCTTCTAGGGATTTTGCTATCTTTCGAGCGATTGTATTCCTCCTCTTGGGATAGACAGGACCGGGCTGAGTAGCAACTCATACAGGCTCTGGGAGAGCCATGCAGGTAGGCACATCTTCACTTGAGCGCCTGCGGGGGTTAGCAGTGGGACTAGCCTGCCTAGGCGTCTAGATATCGATGCTAAGGAAGATATAGGTAAGTAAAAGCATAGAAACTTTTACGCTTTCCAAGCGGACGCTGTTGAACGAAGCTTTATGGGAGGCTATCAAACTTCCTAGCATCGGCTGGTTGATGCCCGCGAGGGCGTGGCACTTTCTATGCCCCCAAGGGCATGAGCTGATTGATGCCCCCGAGGGTGTGGCACTTTCTATGCCCCCAAGGGCGTGAGCTGGTTGATGCCCCCGAGGGCAATGGCATGGCACTGGTTCCTCTATCAACTTCGCTAGCCTAGTTCACTACTGCTGCTACGACTATCTATTAATCTAACTGTCCATCTTAATACCTTGTGTACCTATATATGTGTTGCTTCGTTGAAATGTCAATAAATATGTCCCGTTTTTTTTTCGTTTTGCCTAACCCTACCCTGGCCCGACCCGTCCCGTGGGGCCGCGCTACTCGTCCGTCGGCGCAAGTGTCGCCGTCAAGCATATCGTCTGTACGCCGAACTCGCGAATCGCCTCTCCGAGCTCTCTGAGCCGCGGCCGGAAGCTCCGTGACCCCTCGAGCACGACGTGGCATTCGTCCACGACGACGCGGTCCAGCGCCTGCCTCCCTTCCAGCCGTGCGATGAAGTCCCTGAACCCCTTTGTGACGGCTGACTCGGGCGTGACGAAGATGATGGACGCCGCCTGGTTGTTCTTCCGGCCCTGCCACACGTGAGATGTGATCCCCGCCTTGACGCATCGCCTGTGCAGATCCGACCGCAGCGCCACCAGCGGCGTCACGACCACCGTCACTCCGTCCGGCGAGCAGAACGCCGGCAGCATGAACGAGACGCTCTTGCCACCGCCCGTCCCCATCACCTGCACGATCGGCGTGTGCCCGCTGGCGATGGCGAGCACCGCTTCTCTCTGGTTCCCGCGGAACATCGCCGAGTCGTCACCCGTCATCTGCCGCAGCTGGCCCTCCAAGTCGATTCTCCTCAGCTTCTCAAACCGTCGGAGCCTGGCTGCGAGCCGTGGCCCTTCGTACGCCTCCGTCTTTTTCCTCTTGCAGCCCGCGGGACCCCATTTCGACTCCGAATCCTCGGCGCCGAAGCCCAGAAACCTGTGCCACTGACGGCTGACTCGGCGGAACTGTTGCTGCCTCGCCGCGAGACCGCTGCCGAACTGCATGAGCTCTCGCGCGTAGATCATGCCCGCTATCCGCGTGCTGTGCCCCGCCTGCAAGTCCCACGGGCTGTCCTCGACCTCGTCCGTCCCCTCTTCCGATCCCACGCCGGCGTCGTCTCCGCCCGGCCGGCCGAACGACTCGTTCAAGTAGCGGTTAGCGATGCCGATGGCGATGTGCCGCCACATGCTCACGTTGACCTGGCATCCCAGCAGTCTCATGCTGGTCCGTTGCATGATCCGCCGCGCCCTGTCTGTCGTCCACGTTCGCTCCTCTTTCCACGTCCAGTCGCCCACACTTGTGCTCTCATCCCCAGCCTCATCTGCATTTGCACTGTGATTGTTGCCATCCCCGATATCCATGTTGTCACCACTTTGCTCTTCTAATCCTGCCGCCGCGCTGCTTTCTTCCGAGTCCCTCTGCCGGATGATGTCGTCCGCCCATATGAACGCGCTGTACCCGCTGGCCTCGTGCATGATGCCCTACACCTCCTGCCAGAACGGCAATATGAGCCAGAGAAACCATATGATAAGCTCGCCGACCTCCCTCGGGAGATATCGGTGGATCACCTTCGCCTGCCCGGTCGTCCGGTATCCTTTGTGGTACGCTGTGATGAAGCACAACATTTTGTCGTGCACCATGATGTTGCGGACGCCCCCCGTTGACCGTGTTGACCGTCCGCAGACCTGCGAGCTCGCTCGCCCGCGCCGGCTGTCCGCCGAGCATGTGCAGAAGCATCCACAGTCGCTCGCGGAGTCGTTCAAACGTCCTACCGAACTCCTGCACGGCTGACGGCTGGAACGGCCGGTCTGTCGTCCCGCGACCGTTGCCTATGCTGCTCAGTCCCCACCGTTCCGCAGCGGCGGGCGACCGCGCCAGCCGCATGAACAGCCAGCCGTCCCCGGCGGAAACCCAGCTGTTGCGGTCGTCGGCGAGAAACGAGTACCCGGGCTTTGTCTCGCTGTGGTCGTCTTCGATCGACGACCATGGGATGGCTGGCAGCTGTGACCGGACGTCGCTTTCCGGACCGTCCGCCGAACCCGAATCCTCCGTCGCCGTCAGCTCTGCGAGCAGCTCCCGCGTCTCTCGGACCAGCTCATGTAGTGCGTCCGACAGCTGCCCCATCGTGAACCGTACCCGTCTGTATGACACGCGATCACCGACCCAGTCGATGACACCGGCCGCTGCTGTGTTATATTGGATGTGCATCCCGTACGTCCGCGTCTCGAGAATCCAGTCCTTCGGTGTCGGCTCCGCATCCTTGTCGCCCGTCGTCCGCGTCATGAACCGCCGCACCTTCGCCCGCGTGTGCTGGAATAAACTCCGCGCCGCGTCCTCTGCTTCATCCTTCCCCAGAGACGTTTCCAGCTCGGCGACCTCGTCACGACGCTCGGTGTATGCCTGATGGATCACCAGCATGCGCGCTACCTTGACCACGGCCGAGTACTTCGTCGTGTAGTCCGTGATCTGAACCCAGCCGCCATTCTCGGCAATGCCCATCACCGCGAGAGCGCTGAGAAGAGCACTGCTGTAGTCTCCGCCCTTCAGCTGGTGGTCCAGCATGCTGATGAGCATGTCGAGTGCTGCGCGTTCCAGCTTCTCCTGCGTCTGATGCCCCGTCCCCGTGCTGGCTACTTCCGCCATCTGCTCGAACAAGTCCCACGCTTCTGCCTGTGACGGCGTCAGTTTATACGGTGGCCGCTTGTCGTCGTCCATTTCCTGCGTGCGGAACCAGACACACAGCAGACATAGCCACACGCCCTTGTATCTCGCCCACGTGTCGTCCTCCATGCGGTTGTCGAACGGCCGCCTTGGCTTGACGTGCGCTTCTGTACGCTGCGCCTCGAACAGCACGGCCAGCCCGACGGTATTGGGCGCAGACGTTGCTCGAGCCTGGTCCAGCACGCGGTCGACCGTCGCCCACATCGCCTGAAGCACGACCTCATCTTCATTGATGGGAGCTGTTGTGTTGAAGAGTGCGCTGGCACTGAGCCCTTTTAAGTGCACCGCCCATCCTACACGGGCCAGCCACGGGCTGGACTCCAGTCTTTCGTTGGCGACGCGGATCAGCTCGTCGTGGCTCGTCTTCACACGTTCTGCTTGGACTTTCCGGAGATCTCGGACGCGGTCCATCGCCTGCCGTGCTGGGCTTCTGTTTGGAGCGGCTTCTGCAGACTCGTCGGCCGTCTGTCTCCGGGCCACCTCGAACCACTGGCTGCCGACTCGGCCGGGAAAGAAGCGTTGGCATTGGACGCCCGTTGTCCATGGCAGCTGTCGGGGCTGCTGGCTTTTTTTGCTCACGTCTCCCCCCTTCTTCTACTTATTCACCCACCTATGTTTCTCTCGACAGTGCTGCTGCATGGTCTGCAGCCGGATGCATACATACGAGCACGTGTCGCATCGTATACCGTCGTTACGGGGCGCCATGAGATATGGGATTGCTGCTATATGTGGGCTGGGGTGCTTTAGCTCTGCAACTTCAGACTGTGTCTTATAAACCGACGTCTCTTGCTCGATCTTGCAGATAATAGCACATCTTTCTTTGGGTTTGATGGACGAATGACGCGTTCTCAGATGTGCGGCCGACTCGTCAGCAACTACTGCAAACTGACAAACTGTGCAGATAAGCAGACGAAACGGCTCAGCAACCATAAATGGATCCATCTTCAACGCCGTTGTTATAATTCTCTTTAGATCAAGATATCTGTCCCTGTTCCTGTTATTGATACACTGACTTATGCTTTTTGCTCTATGAATGTTTTCTACTACCCACTCTGGGTAACCATAGTAACTTGTGAGTGCCATCCATCAACTTCCTGCCCAAGTGGAATGCTCTTGAGCGCACGGGCCAGTTGTCCATGGTGGAATTGGCGGTGCGGTCCAATAGCATCAACGCGGGGGGGTGGAGCAGCGAACACCACATCAAAACTGTAGCTTCAGCAATAAATTCACTTATAAATCAATCTGTCGTAGTTTTACCTCCAAACTGAGCACACTTCATGTCCTGAATTGACGTTATATTTTGCAGTTAAATGCACACTTTTTACTGCAGAATTCGCTGAGATCTTCTTCCAACACCTACCCCCTACCTCTTCAACCAACACCTACCCCATGTATGTCACCCCCCACTTTTCCATTTGGTGAGGATTTCAACCATCACCTAGTAGGTGTTTGAAGTTGCCAGTATGTTAGGTGTTTGAAGTTGCCAGTATGTTAGGATTTCAACCATCACCTAGTAGGTGTTTGAAGTTGCCAGTATGTTAGGGGTTTATTTCGGAACGCGTCGAGATTTCAATTGAAGGTGGAGACACTGAAGTCCATGCCGGCCAATCAGAGACCCTAGGGAACGCGTCGAGATTTCCAAGTCGGGCAGGGGGTGACGGGTGGGGCTCCGGACAAGTCGGGCCAATGGCTGTACACGGACGGCCGTATCTCGACGCGTTCCGGCATGGAATAACTGAGTAGGGTTTTCACGTGGCGTTGGGAGGGACCCCTCACTCACTAGAGGGCTCTCGCGGTGGCAGGACGCCCGAAGACGAGCTGTGTGGCGAGGTTTGCTTGTCATGAGTTAGCTTCGAGGGCCACACCAGACAATCCCACGATGCATACCTCTGCGAAACCGAGATCCGGGTCTGGTCCCTTATCAATGTCGCGTTTTGTGGGCTTGTGCTTCTTCCAGGGCTCTTCGCGCCAAGCCTTGTGGTTTGGAGGGAAACCGGCCAGCTGATATTGCACGCCGCCGGCGACCGACGAGCTGTACTTTCTCCTGTCAAAGTCCTTGTTTGGCGTTGACTTTCCGAGGTTCCTGCCATCCAACGTCCTCCAGGAAACAATCTGGTCATACTTGATACCTCCTAGCGCCGCGAACTCTTCTTCCGCGTCGAAGTCGCTGTATTTGCCAAGGGTGCCGACGGTGTCGACCATGTTAGGCGTGGCGTGGATCTTGTACACGAAGGCGGAAGGTTTCTTGTAAACAAATGTCGCTGCCACGGGTTCGCTGGCACTGGTGGAAACGAACCCGTCATCGTCCCGGCTCTGGATGTTGGGGGTACCTTTCATGTGATTGAAGAGGCTGGTGTTTGGGGGTTGAGACTGGAAGCCTGTCTGGCCCTTCGGGAGGAATCCCCCAAGCCTTTTGATCTCCTTAGGGGGTCTCATATCTCCACGATACACGTATTTGACCGTCGTTGGGGCTCCATGGCAAAAGACGTACCATAGGTGGGCCCATAAGACGAAGAGAAGAAGGGGTCGTTGTCCAAACATTCGAACGAAGACGAATGTTACCGTTTAACCGAATGGGGCGGGAGAAGGTACACCCTGGGTCGGAAAGGTAGGCGAGGGATGGGAAATAGAGAAGGCGAACGGCTGACAGGAGAAGGGAGTTTGGGAACAGGTCCTGTTGGGTTAGCGTGACGACGTTGGCGTGGGGTTTTATACCTAGCGTTGACAGCACTGCGTTGCACCCTGTCACGTCAACCGTCGGATTCCTGGGCTCATGATTCAGGGCACATCTTCGCAGTATGTGGAATCCCCACAAGGTGATAGAAATATATATAGTAGCGGAAAGGCAGGTTGTCCAGCCTAACAAGATGATCTGCTTAGTAAACGGCGTCGGCGTTGGCGAAGATAGTATCGGCTGGGATAAGTTACGATTTCTAGTCGCCCCGCTGTGAGCCTTGGCGGGAGAAACCCAACCCACTCTAAATCCTAAATTGAATGCGTTTGATGCTAGTGTCGTCTTAGTCGGCCTTGCATTTTATTTTATTTTTCTTGTTTTCTTTTTTTCACCCCATTATCCCTTTGGTTTTTTTGGTTTAACCCGGAACGGTTGTTTTCAGCCACTGTCCCAAGCTGGTTTATAATTTATACTCCGGGTCAAAGCTTTACCCCCGTTTACTCTTTTTGGTCCTGGTACACTGATAATGGTCTGTTAGTAAGAGTGCTGATAAGGAGAGCTTACAGGCTGTGTGTCTTTGTAGTAAGCCGAGCTTAGCTCGACATGGCGGTGTCGCCGAACGGACCACCAGTTTGTTTTAGTTTTTTCTTTTTTTTCTTTTTTCTCGGTAATACCGTGCTGTTACGACCCGTTATGCATGGATAACAGTTAACCGACCCACTTGGGCATCGGGCGGCTAGGACAGGACATTTGTACTGCAGGATCACGGGAACAACAGGGACTCACTCGGTAACGGAAGAACTATGGTCCAAGTCACGTGATGATAAGATAACGATCATATTGGATCAATATGATCCAACACGACTTGGGGGCCAAACGATCGTTCTGGATCAGAATGATCCAGATCGACCCAAGGTACAAAGGAACATGTTCAGAATTAGACTTGTATATAGTATGACCCTGAGCCTGGCTCATGGTCAGACTTCCATAGCTCTTCAGCAATCAACTTAGTATTCATCCTCACGGATACTCTCAGCTTACCTTCACTGCGAATCACTTGTTGAGTCTAAGACTGATCACCTTAGCCTCTGAAGACCCGATCTACTACAGCCTACGAACTACGACCTACGACCACGACCTAGTGTACTGTTAGAACGTATCAATCCCCAGCTTCTGTTAGCAGACCCTACTGTCGGATAGCTGACCGTAACACGTGCCTACTAGGCCGCATTGTAGGGCTTTCGGCATAGATTACTATATGCGTGACAAGACTGGAAGACATTAAATATACAGAGAGGTAAGCCTATCTTACGGTTGGGTAGGGTTGACTTGTAGGCTGTAGCCGGATAGGGACGGATTTGGGATGTTTATAGAGGTGGGTGGAGAGGTATCAGTATTAGCTCTGATTTTGACTATCTATCTACTCCCCCCCCTTTTACAAGCGGGTCAGGGCAACCAACTGTGGCACAAAGCAAAAGCTTCGGTAATGACAAATCCGATGTCATTATCTCCTGTTCTGTACTATATAGTTACAATCCTACAGGGACCAACTGTAGCGGTCGTAACACACCCCCCTCCCGACCTGCTCTCAATCTCGCCTTGTTCGTACCTTATAGCTCACCGCTTCCAGCTGTGAAACCAAACAGCCTCTCACATATGGCCTGGTATGAAGTTGGCTCTTTTATGGACCGTCAGACAGTGTACGGTCGCCGGACGGCTAGCTGTCTATCCCGCGGTCCGAACCGTCGCCCTTCCCTCGCCTGAAAGCCCAGCTACTGAGTATCTCGGTTGAGGAGCTCACGTTTATTTCATGGCGTGGATCTCAGCTACTAATCAAATGATCGACCGCGACCGCTGCTGAGATCTAGAATATGGTGTCTATTGGCTTGGCGGATGTTCTGCGAAGCATCCCTGCTGGCTGGTTCCTTGATGCTTGCCCCTCTAGGCGCGCTCGGCGTGGAGAGGCTTGGGGTACGATGCTAATTTGCTTATGGGTGAACGTTGGGAACGGCTGTGGTAGTTTTATGTCGACTTTCTTGCCGGGCTTCCGTGGCACGACGATCCCTTCGTCCGCCATGAACTGCTTGCACCCCCACGTTAGGCGACCCTCTTGGTTAACGACTTCACCGCCGCCACAGGGGTTTTGAGCTGTTCAGTGAGCCCGTTAGCACGACGTCACCCATGTAGCATACATGTAGCAGGACAAGTATAAACTTACGGCCTGCGACGCCTGTCCGGCCCCCTTTACCGTAGGCCACGATGCGGATGGAGCGTGGGTGATTGTTAGCTTGCTGCGAGCTATCGCTGTCCAAATGGTACTTAGGAGGTGTTAGATATAGAGGAGTCGGTGTTTGGCGCCTTGATCCAGGGGAAGGACCTGGTAGCGGAAGGAGCAGGACCTACCTGGTGAACAGCGAAAATCTCCGCACAGCCGGCCTCGGTTCGATGCTTCTGGTTGACTGGGACCTTCTTTTGGCTCTGTAGTCTGGCTTGGCACCGGTTAAGGGCAGCGACGACTCGTGGTTTGGGGTGCTGGGGGCCGTAGCCGTATAGAGAAGGGCCGTCTCCCTTCTGGCTGGACGAGATAAAGATGTTGTTTTCAACGGCCATAACGGCTATCATGGCGGGCTGGTCCTGTGCCCTGATGTGATCAACATTGAACTTGGCCTGCATTTGGGTATACGCTAAGTCAGCAAGCCTATAGAGTTGGTCGTTGTTGAAAAGTGTTGTTGTGTCT